ATTTGTGTGTATATGTATAATATAATTTGTGTGTATATGTATAATATAATTTGTGTGTATATGTATAATATATTTTTTGTTTTGTGTATATGTATAATATAAGTTGTATGTTTGTGTAATATCAGTTATCGACCATAACACCAATAATTATATCAGATATCGATATTGGCAGAAGTTTTCATATCGGTGCATCCTTAATAAAAATGCTCTAAAACTTACATTAACTTACTTTTCATGTAAATTTTCTACAGTGATATACTSTATATCATTAGTGTGAAGGTTTAAATTTATACCCTGATATGAATCTGAGGTCATACTGCCCAGCTCTTTGTTTAAGAAACTGTTTTTGTCTCATAACTGTATAYTTTATTTTGAACTTGGCTCAAAGTGGAACAGGAAGTGACATTAAAGGGGAACTGTTTGAGAAAAYAAACTCTGCTCTTTGTTTATTGAAACAATATTTGAACTCTGACTCTTCTTCTCTCTGATTGACTGAATAATTWAAAAAAAACAGATTCTTCTACAGTCTGTTAGTCGTTGTAGCAGCTCTCTTTATTCCCCTTTGACATCACTTCCTGTTTCTAATGCAAGTATCTCAGCGCTTCATCTCAGTGACGTGAACGTTTTTTGATGTTATCAATGCCATCTTTGCAGAAAAGCATTTATGTTTATTTTATAAAAATGTGATGCCACAGGCACTTGAAGCTCTGTGGAGTATTTTAAACATTTCTCCTCAAACCAGCTCCTCCCAACTAATGAGAAAGCCCAACAGACATCCTCTAACAGCACAGGGACCAGCTCACATCAGGTGGGGTCGCAGGTGGTGGATGAGAGCACACAGAGCCAGGCCGGACCTCCAGGACTGGCTGAAATCCTTCACGTTGACGTTCTTATAACCTGCTGTGTGTTTCTGGCACCACTTCAACAACTCCTCGAAGCCACTGCCTGAATCTGAGGAACCAACAGATCTGATCAGACAGCTTTAGTGTTGTCACAGCAGACACACACCTGTGATGTTCTGCTTTGACTAGAGTCAAGATAAACATCTGTAAAGACACGAGTCACCTCGACGCAGGACACCGTCTGTCTGTTTGCTGCTGGTTGGACGAGTTTTCTCTGCATCATACAGGTGATGGACCTGATGCAAATAAGATAAGAAGATAAGATCAAATGTAGCTAAACTTTAGCGTTTTGCAAGACTTCCTGTGTGTTGTTGTAACAGAGACAGCTTCCTGTCTCACTGGTTTCAACACACTGAGCTTCACATGGCTGCAGACGCTCACATCTGCTGGGTCAGTAAAGGATCAGCTGACCTGGTGGTCCTGAATGGAGCACAGGTTGAGTCTCTGGTATCGTGTTTTCGGGTCGATGCTGTACTGAGAGTAGTTCTTGTTGGTGTTCTCYGGTGTGGTCTGGGACAGGACCTGGTAGATGCTCTCTCTGTATGAGAAGAATCAATCACACAAATATAAACACATTTAACTGTTTTCATTCACGTCAATCCTTTTGTTTTAGAGTTTAAGACGATCAGACATCACCTGACATCCAGGACTTTCAAAATAAAATCATGTGCCAATACCAGTTTGGTCCACATGACATCACGTGTGATTTCATGTGACGTTACAAGATCTACAACATCTGGTAGAACTCAGTTTGTTGATTCTGAGCTACAAACACCAGATTTTACCTCAGCTGCTGTTAAACATTCCTTTAAATCACATGATTTAATCAGGATAATGTGCAATTAAAACATTAATGATTTAGTCTTCAGCTATAATAACCCCTCTAGACATCATCATCATCATATATTATAATAATAAATTATAATAACAATCATCATCATCATCATCGTCATAAATTATATTAATAACAACAATTATAATAATAATCAAAAGAAATAATAATAATAATAATAATAATAATCAACAGCACTGGCAGGTGACAGATGTGCACAAGTCTTTTTTTGCAAGTCCAAGTCTTTGACCAAAAATACAAGTCAAGTCTCAAGTGTCTTGACCTCAAGTCCAAGTCTAGTTGTTTGTATCAACAGGCAGTTTGATCAAAGATACTCTAACTGTACTAGATTATAGTCTATAATACTATACTTTAATCAAATATTAAAACTGTTTTAAAAATACAGATAAGATTAAGGTTGAAATAACAACAATCAAACATTTAGAGTATTAACTGTATTTAACACTTGTAATCTTACATAAGAATAC